CCTTGACCTGCTGGGCTTCAGTGATCCTTCTGCCTCAGCCTTCCGAGTAGCCGGAATTACAGGCATGCGCTACCACGCCCGCCTGATTTTTTGATTTATTGTAGAGATGAGGTCTCGCGGCCCAGGCGGGTCTTGAACCCGCGGGCTCAGGCAATCCACTCACCTCAGCCTCCCAAAGGCGCGGGATTACAAGCTGAGCCACCGAGCCCGGCTCAGTTAATATTTTAATTTATATAGAGATGAGGTCTTACCATGTTGCCCAGGCTGGTCTTGAACCCCTAGGCTCAGGCAATCCTCTCGCCTCGGCCTCCCAAAGTGATGAGATTACAGGCGTGAGCCACTATACCCAACCTTACAGTTTTTATTATTGTTTTGGTGTTAATATATGGTTAAAATAAATCAGATTCAGCCCTTAAAACATCAGAGAGAGAGAGAGAAAAGCACAACAATGAACAGAGGGGCATTTTTAGAGATTTTCTTACTTACTAAGACTCAAACACGCTGGGCTCGGTGGCTCAGCCTGTAATCCTGTGCCTTTAGGAAGCTGAGGTGAGTGGATTGCCTGAGCCCACAGGTTCGAGACCCGCCTGGGCAACTTGGTGAGACCTCATCTCTACAAAAAATCAAAAATTAACCGGGTGTGGTAGTGCACGCCTGTAGTTCTAGCTACTTGGGAGGCTGAGGCGGAAGGATCGCCGAAGCCCGGCAGGTCGAGGCTGCGGTGGCCGGGAGCGGCAACTGCACCCCAGTCTGGGCGAGGGAGTAAGACTCCAACTCAAAAAAAAAAAAGACTCAAACAATCCTTCTCTTTTCTGTCACTGTCTACTTTTCCATCTAAATAAGAGAGGCCAATCCAAGAAAGAAGCCCCCTGCTCCTGAAAACAAGACAAAACAAAAAACAAAAACAGCCCCTTCTACTTTAAAGCAACCTGAACATGAAGAAAACATACCATAGAGATGACAGTGGGAGGGAGCTGCTTAGGGTCTCCTACCAGGACAAGCTTGTTGCAGCGATGGATGAGTGGAGTAAGGGTCTCAACTTCAGAAGACTGTCCAGCCTTGGTAAGGAAGTACAGAAGGAAAAAATTATCTTTGCTATTAATTTATCCATATACAGTTTATCTGATTCAGTAAAGCTCTAACCTTCAGAAAAGTACCACGACTTCTCCTGCATCAAATATCAAAAATAAAGTTTTTCTTTGATTATAAAACAAAACAGACAACAACAAACCCTCCAAACTTAATGTTTAAAATAAACAAACATGTATTTTGAAATCAGCCACCACAGGAGCCACTGCCACTTGGGAACCACCTACAAATTAGAAAGCCATGGATGTCCTGGGTCTGTGTTTTTTGTTTCTTCTGGACATGAGCCAGAAACATTTTTTCTCTCTTCTAAAGTTCTTTTATAACTTTATATGTAATATTTTTCTTTTGTGTCAGAGTCTCACTCTGTCCACCCAGGCTGGAGTGCAGTGGCACACTCATGGCTATCGCAGCCTCAACCTGCTGGACTCAGGCGATCCTTCTACCTTAGCCTTCCAAGTAGCTGGTACTACAGGTATGTGCCACAATGCCTGGCTAATTTTTTGATTTATTGTAGAGACAAGGTCTTGCCAAGTGGCCCAGGTTGGTCTTGAATCCCTGGGCTCAGGCCTCTCACCTCTGTCTCCCAAAGTGCTGGGAGTACAAGTGTGAGCTACCGCATGTGGCCTTACAACTTTCTTTGAAGTTCACAAATCACATTAGGTGTTTCTCTCTGTGTGTATTTCCCCAACCCCCGCATCTATATATCCTCCTTCTCTCCCTTCCTTCTTTCTTGTTCCTCAGTAGGCCTCTTCAATTGTAGGACATTTTAGAAGGCCTCTTCAATTCAATGACATTTTCTTTGATCATTTAATCATTTCTACATTTTCTGTTCCTTCATTCCTGTGAATACTGAATTTTGGGTTTTCTGGATTGACTCTATCTCATGCTCCATCTCCGTTGTCTTGACTCTACATTTTGGCAAACAGTAGGTACTTAATAGATGTTTGCTCAAGGAGTGAACTAAGAACAAAGGATGTCAGCTGAGCATATTGTGGTTCACAGCTGTTCAAAATACTTCAAAGGGGAACCAGAGATAGTTGGTGAACCATTAGCAGCATATCTTAACATTAGAGAACATGCACGTAATAGCAGGTGAAAATCAGATGCAAAATACCCATTTTCTCAATATCTCAGTAGTCACATTCATCTAAGACTTGCTCCTCACAGTACTAGTCAAGGTTGTATGGCTGACGACTCACTGACCTCATCGACAATGACACAACTGAAGGGGACGCCCCCTTGCCCACGAAAAGCAGACTCAAGTAGAAAACCACCACTTGTGCTCAATGTACAGCAGATGATATGTGACTCTAAAATGATGATATTCTGTGTTTTCTGTGGGCGTCCTTGAACCTAAGACAAAAATAAAGGCTAATCAATATTCAGCTGTATATATTTACCCTTATCTGCGGCAGGCCTGCTTTTACTATAAAACACCCACAATTTTTATGTATCAGAAAAATATTTAGTAAAAGTTAGGGGAAATATCACATATAGAAAACAGCAGTTTTAATTCAAGACAATCAGAAACAAACCAGAATTGTGCTTTGCAGTCTAAGCATAAAACATGATTTAAGCATATGAAAAAAATGCATTCAGGGTTTGATTTGGTCAAGGTAGATTATAATCCTTGTAGCCAGGCATCAGCATATGTAGAGATAAAATAATTCTACTGAGCTGTGAGGTAAATGTCTAAGTAAAACCAGGGTTAGAATTAAGGTTGACTGTACATTTTTCTGTTAGTTTTTAAGTACATAATCTTTCTTTTATAAAAGCTAGTACGAACAAAAATGCCCATGAACCTGACAAATATTCTGACAGTAAGAAAAATAACTGGGGGGGTGGCAGGGTGGCTGGGCCAGCAGTGATGGCGGTACGAGACGCAGGCTCAGGGTCCCGGGGGTGAAGAGGAGGAGGATGTGGCGCACGGAGGGGAAATGGCTGCTGAAAGTAAGCTGGAAGATGATTATGGGAACAGCAATAGTAGTCATGTAAAAATCTTTTTACTGAAACAGCTGCTTGAATGTCTGCCAAAATGTTCAAGTTTACCAAAAGAGAAGCACCGTTGGAACACTAGTGAGAGATCATGATGTAGCCATACTTTTGGACTTCTTTTCCTTTCTTTTTTTTTTTTTTTGAGTTGGAATCTCACTCTGTCACCCAGCCTGGAGTGCAGTGGCCTGCTCACAGCCACCACAGCCTCAACCTGCTGGGCTCAGGTGATCCTTCTGCCTCAGCCTTCCAAGTAGTTGGAACAACAGGCATGTGCCACCATGCCCAGCTAGTTTTTTTTTATTTATTATAGAGATGAGGTCTCGCCAAGTTGCCCAGACTGGTCTTGAATCCCTGGGCTCAGGCAATCCTCTCACCTCGGCCTCCCAAAATGCTGGGATTAAAGGCGTGAACCACTGCGCCTGGCCTTATTTTTGATTTATTGTTGAGACGCGGTCTCGAACTCCTGAGTTCAGACAATCCTCTCTCCTCTGCCTCCCAAAATGCTAAGACTGAGTCACCACACCCAGCTTGGATTTCTTTTTAATAATGTGTGACCCTTCACCTTTGATCCCTTGACCTGCATTACCTTGGTAACAATTTCATTTTTTAGTTTAATTTCATTTTTTAATTTTGGTGTACAAACTGTAACATTTCATATCTCCCCCACTGAATGATAAATGTGCAAAACGCTGTCTTCATTTCCTGTACTAAAATTCATTTAAGTTTTTTTTAAAAAGCAAAAACAACTTGGGTCTACTTCTATAATGCAATACAGGAAGTCCCCAACATACAAAGAACAAGTTTGGTACTGAAAGCACTCATAAATTCATTTGCTGTCAGAGCAACAAAACTAGCCTAGGTACCCAACTAACACAACTGGCTATATAGTACTGCATGTATTTAACAGGCTATACCGAAACCTGGTGGAGAGAAGTAATACATAAGAAAATATAGGCCAGGCTCGGTGGCTCAGCCTGTAATCCCGTACTTTGGGAGGCCGAGATGAGTGGATTGCCTGAGCCGGTGGGTTCGAGACCCGCCTGGGGAACTTGGTGAGACTTCATCTCTACAATAAATCAAAAAATTAGCTGGGCATGGTAGTGCGCGTCTGTAATTCCAGCTACTTGGAAGGCTGAGGTGGAAGGATCACCGGAGCCCAGCAGGTTGAGGCTGCGGTGGCCAGAAGCGGCCACTGCACTCCGGTCTGGGTGACAGAGTGAGACTCCAACTCCAAAAAAAAAAAAAGAAAATATAGGTGTGCATCTTTAAAGTTTGTAACTTGAAGGTTCATATGCAGGGGACTTACTGTATACAGTAATGAAGCCAGACAATGTGAATGACACCTTAGAAGTATGCCACTTGGTGCTAACACTAATAAACTAGTATTCTTATCATTCAGTCTGCCTCCTTCTGCTACTGAGTAGTAGTAGTGATTCATCTCTGCACACTTGATATATTCAACCATGGAGCTCATGGCATATGTGTGAGCTTTAGGAAGAGGGTGGCACTGTGGCCTTCTACTGCTCATAGAGTAAAGCACTGTCAGATACCTCCCCTATGGCTATCTAGTGAGTAAAACTGCAGAGCACAAGTAACTCAACGGCCCATAAAACATGTGATGAGCTAAAAGAAAACACAATATCTGTCAACATGAACTTCACCCGTCAATTTGGGAAGATTGATTTTGGGTTCAGTTTAAAATTTTAATCTAAAGCTTTCACTTAAGGTTTAGTTAAAATAAACTGCTAATGGAAATACGCATTAAATCCAACTATATTTAGCTACTTAGAGAAGGCTAATAATACATTCAAGAGAAAAACCTCAGCTGGTAAGTACTAACATAATCAGTTGCTATGACCCTACCTCCCTGATCCTGCTGGGTGTGAACGGGCTGCATTCTGACCATAAGGACATACATCTGGCTCAGCCTGGCTTCAATTTGTCTTCATTTTACTTGATATTTCTATATCCAAAGAATACTGGGGAAAAGCTATACATGCTACGGTATTCTTATGCTCAAAAACTACAAAGAGTTTATGCTCTAAGCCAAGAACTGCAAAAAGAAAAAGTGCCGTACTTCCTATGCCAACTCCTGTTCACCGTCACTCTACTCATATCCTTGTATCCAGACTGGGACACAGGAGGCCCACAGTTGCCAACCTTGTCCTAAAGCTCACACAGGCGATTTTCTTTCTTTTTAATGGGGAAAATACCCAAAAACCTATTTTCATCAACATTTACCTGATTATAATCATTACTTGTGTTTTGTAGTTTGTGGGAAGCAGAAATAGAACATGCAGAATATAATAGGTATTTTAAATATTTACCCAGACCTAAAACAGAAAAAAGTTAATTTATAATCACTTCTTTCTTAGAAATCTCAGATGGTGATAAGAACTCATTCTTAGGTTAAAGAAAAAAAGTTAAATGCAACAACCCACTTTTATAGATGCTTGCCATTTTTCATAATAAACACTTTAAAATGTAACTGAGAAAAGTCCATAGGTTGTCTGAGCTAGTTCATGATTTAAAAAAGGAAATAAAAATCAAGAAAATGCTATGGGATAACTCTTACCTCTTTGATTTTAGAAGCAAGTTCCTGTCTTTCTTTAGAAACTTTGGCAATTTTTTCATCTAATTCTTGCCTCTGGAAAAAATTCAAATGCCATCATTAAAACTGAGCAATTTAAAATGCTTTTCCAATGGACTGCCTTGCATTTTAAAAACCTATATTTTATCGAGGAAAACTTTATTACTCCAGCTTTGCCCTTTACCAGTAAAGTCCTGACACACTCTGCATATTGCCGTGGAAGATGTAGTTATATCCTGTGTACTGCATTCATGCTATTTGTCTGCTTAGCATTCCAACACTTGCAGCATTCCTCCACTAACTTCTAGGTGGTTCAAATGACATCAGTCACACATTCCTCTTGGCCACAGTGACAGGCATATAACACAGGTTTGGCCAATCATGGCACCCATCCCCTTAAAAACAGGGTTAGACTTGCTTGTCCACTCAGGAACAAATCAAAGTCCTGGAATTAACGCTCGGATTCAAGGAGAGACCGTCTCTCCCTATGGTATTTCTAAAGTGGCATAGTGGAGCCTGAGATACTGACAATCATCTTCTCCTGCAGAAGAAACGGTTGGCACACAGAGAAAAACAAATCAAGGGGTAGAGAAATGATATCCTCTGAGCCTCTGGATCTACCCGTGCTGAAATGAATCCGCTGTTAGATCTCAGGTGTAGGAGCCAGTAAATTCCCTTTTTGTCTAACATAATGTGAACTAGTTTTCTTTAACTTGCAAATGAAAGATACTCAGTAAATTCAGAACAGCTTTAATATGAAAGCAGTAGAGTCTACAAGCCAAATGCAAAAAGCAGTACAGTCTCTAAGCCAAATGTCAGGACTCATCTGTTTTGGTAAAGAAAGCTTCACAGGAACATAGCCGCATCCATCTGTTTATGTATTACCTATGGCTGTGCTCATGCTACTAAAGCAGAGCTCATCAGCTGCAACAGTGACCAACCATATGGCCCATACAGTCTATAATTTTTACTATCTTGCTCTTTACAAAAAAAGTTTGCTAACCCCAGATGTAAAGACGTACCATCTTAACCATGGTTTTACATATGCATGAGTTGTTGTACCACTCTCCAGTAAGTAAAGGGCATTAAATACTCATCACGAACTAGTTTGCATACCTGAGTTATTAAAGAAATGTTTAGATACCTGCATTTCCCCTCCAATTCGGCATAAAGCTCGCTGCCGGGAAAGCTCATCTAGTTGATCATCTAGAAACTCCTTTCTTTTATGCATCTCCTGAACATGAACAGGTAATTCTTTTTCTAATAAAAATAAAAATAAAAAATTATATGCTAACTCTAACAAACACAAAAGCAAACACGATAAGAAGGAAAACTAGTTTCCAAAGCCAGACTATTTCTGGAGTCTCCAAATTACCTTTGGTGCCCAAGTCATTTTCTACCACACAAAGGAAATAGAGAAAACACTAGTATGTACCGTATTTAGTACTTACTCATTCTGTGGTCAACTTGGTTGTCCAAACTGAATCTTAGAACCTCGTTGTTAATAGACTTTTCTGGGCCCAGTCGCACTAAATTTATATCTCCACAGTTTCCTGTTGATAGAATTCACACTTAAAGATTAAGAAGGACATGCCAAAAAGTCCTGTCTCACCTATTTCTAAGTAAATATACTAATATTCAGAGAAGAGAGCTAACATGAATTGGCAACTAGATACCAGAAAGTATATCCTAGCCTTCTTATATATTATTTCAGACAGTCTTCTCTTCCTAACAACTCTGTAAGGCAAGAACTTATCACTTCTACTCAATAAAAGCTAGCAAAGTCAAACTGCAGAAACAAGATTCTATTACATTAATGTTTTCAGACAGTGTTCTGCAGAAAATCATGTAGCAAAATAGATTTGAGAAATGGCGAGTTAAAATAAATCAGTTTTCTTAACCACAGATTATCTCAAAAACTTTTTGTACATCATATATCAAAGTGTATTTTATTTTATTTTACTTATTCGTTTTTTATTTTTTATTTTTTTGAGTTGGAGTCTCACTCTGTTGCCCAAACTGGAGTGCAGTGGCCGCTCCCGGACACCACAGCCTCGACCTGCTGGGCTCCGGCGATCCTGCCGCCTCAGTCTTCCAAGTAGCTGAAATTACAGGCACGTGCTACCATGCCCAACTAATTTTTTGATTTACTGTAGAGATGAGGTCTCACCAAGTTGCCCGGGCGGGTCTCAAACCCGTGGGCTCAGGCAATCCACTAACCTCAGCCTCCCAAGGCGCGGGATTACAGGCTGAGCCACCGAGCCTGGCTTCAAAGTGTATTTTAATCTCAGAATCTTATTTGATCACCAAATCCTTTTTTGCAGAATAGTCAGAACAAACCTTCTGAAACTATGTTCCACATCACATTACTGATTCAGAATCTAAGGGACACAGACACATGGCAGAAATTCTTGAGTATAATCATTCCAAAAACTACAAACTCATGCTGCTTGTTTATTAACTGCATTTTATTCCAGGTTACCACATATTATCTAATTTAAAAATTTCCACCGGACTTGGTGTCTCAGCCTGTAACCCCAGCACTTTGGGAGGCTGAGGTGAGTGGACTGCCTGAGCACGTGGGCTCGAGACCAGACCGGGCAATTTGGCGAGAACTTGTCTCTACAATCAATCAATCAATCAATAAATAAATACCTGGGCATGGTAGCACGTGCCTGTAGTCCTGGCTACCTGGAAGGCTGAGGTGGAAGGATTGCCAGAGCCCAGCAGGTCGATGCTGAGGTGGCTGCAAGCGTGCCACTGCACTCCAGCCTGAGCGACCGAGTGAGACTCCAACTCAAAAAAAAAAAAAAAAAATTTCCCACTGCATCACTGGGTTAACTTACAGTAATCATGTAGTGCTTCTCAGCATCTGCCTGAATCTGACACAACACAGAGTTGTTTATTGCCTATCCTGCCACTGGACGTTAAATCGCAAAAGAACAGGGTATTGTTCTGGTTACTGCCTAGGATGGTAGTTAGCACACAGTGAGTATAATGATTATGTGATGAATAAATGGCTTGTTTTTAGTTACCTACAGCATCTTTTTTTTTTTAGTACAAGTCTCACTCTGTTGCAAAGGCTGGAGTACAGTAGCACACTCATGGCCACTGCAGTCTCACCTGCTGTGCTCAGGCGATCCTTCCACCTCAGCTTTCCAAGTAGCTGCAACTATAGGCATGCACCACCACGCCTGGCTAATTTTTTTATTTATTGTAGAGATGAGGTCTCGCCAAGTTGCCTAGGCTGGTCTCGAACCCCTGGACTCAGGCAATTCTCTTGCCTCAGCCTCCCAAAGTGCTGGGATTACAGGTGTTAGCCGCTACAGCATATTTTTGATCCTAGTTCAGTTCATTCCCCTAAATTTGAGACCAACAAACTTCCCTGGACTTGAGGGTGTGAAAACTGCTTAATTCACTTATGTTTCCACCAAAAAGGTGGATGAGATGACCTGGAAATCTACCCACTGTAAATACCCAAAAGTGCTCCATAAATCACGACAGACATCGTTTACACTGAAGACTGAGCTCAGAAGAATGTTAGAGAAATTTCTAAAGGTCAAAAACAAGAGAGGTGGCTCAGCCTGAAATCCTGTGCCTTTGGGAAGCTGAGGTGAGTGGATTGCCTGAGCCCGTGGGTTCGAGACCCGCCTGGGCAACTTGGCGAGACCTCATCTCTACAATAAATCAAAATGAGCTTGGGCATGGTAGCGCGCGCCTGTAGTTCCAGCTACGTGGAAGGCTGAGGCGGAAGGATAGCAGAAGCCCAGCAGGTCGAGGCCGCGGTGGCCGGGAGCGGCCACTGCACTCCAGTCTGGGTGACAGAGTGAGACTCCAACTCAAAAAAAAAAGAGAGAGAGAGAGCTAAAAATGGGACTTGAAAGCCCCTGAGCTGCCCTGGTACCCCAAAGGATCAGGGCTGGGCAGTAATCAAGATGCTTAGGTTTTTGTTTGCTCTTTAAGTTGAGGCAGGCTACTGTTTTGTTAAGGAAGAAGCAGGGGCCAGGTCAAGTTTTCCTAAGTTTTGGCCCCCTCCCCTACCTTGGGGAGGTGAATCTCCTCTCTCTAATTTACTTTCTAAATAAACTATATTTCTGATC